CACTGCAGGAGTTGCCTATTTTCTCCTACATGTGTTAGGGTTCTACACCTGATTATATTTTTATGGACTCAAGGATATCTTATTGTACAGATTATAACGCAGTACTATCATTCCATTCCTCGGACTGTTCCGGGTTTGGCCCTCAGAAGCTCTATCAGATAGACTGTTGGACACCACAACATTTCCATACTCGGTTTTGCATCCTCCCTTTCCCAGTACTGGGCCAACCATTTCTTTGAATCCTGGTTCGTTTAATTGGTGAATGATATTTTGAAACCAAGACCAGGGCACTCGATGTACTCATTGCTACTAGGGTGTCACGGCAAGTGGGCCCTCTGAAGATACCCCAGGATGTGTCAGTGTGCTGAGATTCGTTCTGCAACTTTATCTTTGGGCTCCAGTTCTCCAGAGCTTCTTTCCTTTCCTTAGTTGTAGCCTCTTTTCACAGGCTTACAGTTGCTCTTAGTTCCCAGACCTCTTCTGTGGTTGTTAGTACAGTTAGGCACTCCTGTTAATGTCTGTTCTCTTGTGGGTACCTTTGCTCTATCATAGTTGGTTGTAACTTACTTGGTGTAAGAATGGTAGCTGAAGCATTACTATATTTGTAAGAGAGTTTTTCAGAGATTGTTCATGAAATGTCACTGGAACGCTTTTCCCAACCCCCCACTTTTCCCACCAGCTTCATATCGATAGCCAGACTTTTTAGTTTCTGGTATAATCCTTTGTTTCTATCTTTCAAGAATCGGCAGCTTTGCCTTTTCTCACTTAAAAGTGTATCTGGAAGTCATTCCACAGAGACGTTTCATAGAAATCGTTGTCATTTCTGTTTGCAGCTGCATAATACATGGTGTGAATGTACCACAGTTTACTAACCCTAGATAAGCATTCAGGTTGCATCATTTTTGAATTATCAGTGACTAACTTTACACATATGTATTCTTACACAGTTACAGACGTCTTCAAAGGTAGGTTCCTAGAGGTGTGATTGCTCAGTAACTTTGTGGGTAGTTCTATGAAGTCTTACCAAATCAGCCTCCAGAGTTTTACCAGTTAACATTTCCAGGAGTGACATAGGGGAATGCCTGTGTTCCCACAGCCTCACCAATTGAATGTGTTCTGATATTTGATGTTTTTACCAGGCTGGTATATGAGGTACATGAGAAATTGTGTCTCAGTGTTGACTTGCCTTTATTACAAATTATTTCCAACATTGGGGATGGTAGGAGGCAGGAATCTGCTTACCTTGTTCCAATTTGGGTTTTGGTCTTTATCTCTCAATCTGTAAAAGTTTTAGTATCAAAGAATTAGCCATGTGTTATAGGGATTATGAATATTTTGATCCAGTTAGTTGTCTTTTGACCTTTTTTTGTGCATGGTATTTCTGTCTTGCAAAATTTTATTATTATGTGGTCATATTTTTTTATCTTACTGCTTGAGGATTTTGAGTTACATTTAGAAATTTTCTCTACACCATGCTACAGAAAAATTAACCCATGTTCTCTTATATGGGTTTAGCTGATTTAATTTGTTTGGATGCAGATTCACCATGTTACCCAAGTTGGCCAGAATTCACAATCCTGCTTCAGCCTCCAGAGTGCTAGGATTACAGACCTGTGCTACAGGACTTCCATCTGCTTTGGAATTTAATTTTACATATAGGTCTAACTTCGTTTTTTTACAAATGGCTAGTTGGCCCCATTTATTAAATATCATTTATTTAAAAGCCTGTTTTTACCTCATCAGTAGTAGGTACTAGCTGTGTCATGACTCAGTTAATGTATGCATTTTGGTCTCATACTGAAATTTCTGTTTATCTCACTCTGACCACAAATTTTAGATGGCTGTCAGTCCTGCCCAGAAATGCAGCTACCATCCCTGTCACGTTGGAGTCCTCTCTCAGGACGTCGCTATTTTAACTCCTCTCTGTTCAGAACTCCATGACCCATTTCCTCTCCATAAATGACCACTTCCTCACTGATGGAGAAAAGTTTCAGAGGTTTATTTAATCTTCTCCCCAGGAAGGCCACAGTCTGTCTGCACCTGTGCCCACAAACTGCCTTCCGGTAGGCAGTGTGGGGAGGCTCGGCCACCTTCCTAAGTCAAGCCTTCCCGGCGGTGTGCTGAATGAGTCCCGCCCTAGCTCTCCTCCTCAGGGTCTGCCCTTCTCCAGGTGGCCACTTCTTGCAGCAGCACTTTCTCCTGTCTTCTCTCTCCCCTCAGCGGGAAACATGCCTTTCTACCCCCGTGTAAAAACTCGCGGCGACTGCCCACTCTTTCGTGCCTGCAACACTTGGGCTCATCTAAGGCTCAGCGTGCCCTGTGCAGGGTGCTGTCCACGTTTAATTAGCTCCCGTAACTGGTGTGACCTGAGGAAGATGGAGTCACAGCTCTACGTTCTATCAGGACGAAGTGTGGAGAAGGATGACCAGAAGACCTGTTGATGATGCAAGAGGGAAGTATGGCAGGTGCAGTGTCCCCACAGGGGCACCATGGCAGGAGGACGTGGGGAGGAGGAGGAGCAGGGCTCTTGGTGTGGCAACAAGGAACATGGACAGCGGTCCTTCCTGGACATGGACAGCGGTCATTCCTGGACACGGGCTGCCCTTCCTTGCCATCTCCTCCACTGTGTACTGTTCCATGCACATGGAATTGTGGGGGCGAATGCTGCAGGAACAGTGTGGGGCCAGGTTCTGGAGATTTGGCCCTTGGTAGACAGTGCAAAGCAAGCATGAGAAATTTGCTGAGCCCTGAGTTTCAGAACCGTAATCACAGTTTCAGAGAGGCTTGGTTGGGGAAGGAAAGGCTTTACGAAGTGATTGTCTCAGTTTGTACCCACGTGGTGGTCGTACTAGGAGTTGAACTGAGGGCCTTCACACTGAGCACGTCCCTAGCCCCAGTGCTTTTTTTGGAGACAGGATCTAAGCTGCTAAATTGCCAGGGCTGGGCTTGAACTTTGATCCACCTGCTGCAGTCTCCCAAGGTCCTGGGAGACAGGTGTGCACCACTGCACACAGCTCGCATGGAATTTTATACAGGTGACCGTGAAGACAGGAGGTCTGACACCAATGAAGTTTTATTGCTTCCCATGCCCTCTCCTGCCTCCATAATTCTGTTTGGAGCTTACTAAGTTGCTTGGATCTTTGAGTTTATACATTAAATCTAGATAAATTAGACAATACATAATTTTCCCTTTTTATTCCTGCCATTTACACATACACTGGGCCATGGGAGGTTCCAGGTCTCTTTTATACTTCTCATTTTTCTAGTCTTCGTTTTATTTTGGCCAATTTCTATTGCTGTTTCATGTGTGTGTGTGTGTGTGTGTGTGTGTGTGTGATGCCTGATCTTAGTCCCATTAAGTGCATCTCTCATGACAGGTACTTTTAATCCCTAGAGCATGTTTGGATCTGTTTTTATACCTTCCACTCCTTGTGTATGGAGTTGCCTTGCTGTTTTAACATTGGTACAACTGACTCCCCATTTGTGTGGCCCCACCCCCACCTCCTCCCCCATTACGGGCTGTGTTCCACATGCCTGCTTGTTTTGGGTCGGACGCTAGACCCAGTGAGTTTTGTGTTGTTGGATGGTAGATTTTGATGCCTCCCTCTCAGTGCTTTTGTGCTCGGGGCATAGTTACTCAGAATCACACTGATGCTTTTTACACGTCATAAAATCCCACAATTACAAACTGACGCTCAATCGGCTCTTAGATCTCCCCTCTGCCAAGCAAACCCCCAAACTGAGGCCACTGCACTTCAGTGAGCATAAGCTCTCTACTTACTGTTTCAGCAGCTGCCCGTTGTCCATCAAATAATCCCAGATTACTTCAATGTGGAACTCTGGTTTGGATGGAAAGTAGTTCAAACTCCTTATCCAGGACGGTGATGTGATTTAAGATGTGACCATGTGCATGGTATACCCACAACCCAGGCCACCCTCATCGTTGGCACTGTTGTGAGGGAAGGCACCCCGAGGGCTCCTCAGTGGCTCCAGGGGACCCAGCTGGCAGGGGGAGGACAAATGAAGACAGGTGCTGTCCACGCGCTTCCCACCTGTGCTCCCTGCTCAGCCTGGGGAAGCAGTCAACCTTCCTCTCTGGAAATGAAGCTTGCTCCTTGGGAACAAGGTGACTAGGGAAGGCTCCTTTACTGAAGAGATTGTTCAGTTGATTTTACACTAGCAAGAGAAAGGTACACGAATGCTGATTCTGCAGTTCTTGGCACTCAGGCCTGGGTTTGGGTTTCTTACTACTATTACACCGGCATCGTCCTGGGTGCGTCCAGAGAAACTGTCTTAATTCCTCTGTTGCCCCTCCTGAAGCCCTGCCTTGAGAGGCCACAGCTAGCCCCACGCAGCCAGAGGCCTGGGTGGTCCCCATATTCCACCCTGGCTCTGGCCCTCAGTGTCTCCTCCAAGCCAGTGGAGGAATCAGGCTGGTGGCAGGGGACAACAGGATGGGTTTGCAAGCCCGTCCTGGGCTGGGCCTTGCAGCCCCACCCACCAGCTGTGTGATCAGACTTCCTGCAAAGTAGGGAGATCCAAGGAGGGCAGAGGCCAGAGTGTACTCCTGCTTAGGCTCTTAGAGCCCATCCTAGGGCTGCAGCCCCATCTTCCCAAATAATACTCCATGGGCCTCTCACAGAGCTGAGCTCTGTCACCAGCCTCTGCCCCCGAGTCAACAAAGTCACTCAACTTTGTGACTTTCAAGCCAAAGACACACACAGTCTTGTCTCCCAGAATCAACCAGCAGCGCAGTCCGTCACAGTGGGAGTCCCTAAGTTGCAACTTTAAGCACTGTTCCCACCAAAAAGAGGAATTATTTCTTCAAAACTGTTACCCAGTAACACCAAAAATGTAAATGACGTAGAAAACAAACTGCGTATTTCTCACAGGTCCAAAGCCCATGAGGCAGGCTGGCCATCTGCCCAGGTAACCTGGTACACCACGAGCCCTGGTGCCCCTCATCCTCAGTCACCACCAGTTTTAAAGAGCAGGAATCATTTTTCCTTCGCAGAAGAAAGTATTTTATTCCACTGAGAAAAGTAAAAGACACAGATACTCTTTGCCTGGCAAAAATGATTTTCCCTAGGGACTCTGAGCCTTCCCTGGTGAAGTTAAAGGCCACAAATGTTAGAGAAATCTGGGACCCCCAGCAACACAGTGAGCAGAGACATTTAGCTGGAAAAGCATTTGTGCATTTTCCTGTACCAAGGTTCACAAGTTCATTTTATCCCGAAGATTATCCTGGTCTCTTAAGAGAACATTTAATTGTGAAGATGATTTAAATGTGCTAAACTGAACTCTAGGCATCTGTTTCACTCAAACTGAGAGAAATTGGAAACCCCTCTCAAGTACTCTCCTGCCACCCACCCCTCCTCTTCCAACACGTGATCTTTCACATCTCTGGGCCTCAGCTATCAAGTGCCACACCAGGGCCTCCAGGGCAGCACTTCTGTGGCATTTTCCATGGACCTTGTGGATGGAGTTGTCAGCCCCTCAGCCCCTTCCCTGCCTCATCCCGCCTGCACACGGCAGGCTGGCGTCTGGCCAGAGAGGAGGGGACCGGCAGACTGATGGCTCCATCTCCCCATGGGCAGCCACAGCCACTTTACTGTGATGTGGGCAAGTGTCACCAAAGGCCCACGACTTAAAGGTGTGGTCCTCAGCTTGGCATTTTCTTGAGGTGGGGCCGGGTAAGAGGAAGTTAAGTCGCTGGGGGCAGTACCCTTGAAGGGGGTGTAGGGACCCCATGCCTTCCTCCTCCCTTACCTTTGAGCCACGTGAAATGACGTCTCCTGACTACGCTCCCTGCCAGGATGTGCTGCTTGCCACAGGTCCCAAACCAACAGGCCAACTGATTGTGGCCTCAGCTCTGAAGCCATGAGCTGAAATAAACCCTTTGTCTGTCCAAGCTGTTGTCTCAGATGGTAGTCAGTCAAGGAAAGGAGATACCTGCATCCCTCCAGGAAGTGTCTGGTCTTAACATTACGAGCTACACCATATACAGAGGGTTCCCCGAGGGCAGTGATGGTGAGCCTTTTAGAGACCAAGTGCACCACCTGCAGCCCCAAACCCACTCACGCATTGCAAAGGGCCAGCACCTCTATTCAACTTGAATACTCAGGTTTTAGTTTAGAAAAACCAGCCCTGCAGCAGGACGCGCCCTGGGGTTATGAACGTGCACAGGGCTGCTGCTCTAGGCAACACCGGCAACTGGCGAGGCAGCTGCCTGGGGACAGGTGCACAGTGCTTCCTGCCACACCCTAGCCAGCACGAGCACCCATCCGTAAACAAGACTGGGAAGATCCGGGAGCCACTTCATGGAAAATGAGACCTGCCTGTGTGGCAGTCCACGAGGACGGGGACCTGAGGCACAGAGGTGCTGTTTACCCAGCAGGGAGGCACTGAGGAGGGCACCGCTGCATCCTCCAGGTGCCAGGTCTCCAACAGAGCTGGCGGGCAAAGAGGAAGCACGGCCGCTTACCATTATATCTGTCACTCTCTAAATTAGGGTGACGAAACTATTCCATAGCACCTTACTGGGGAGACAAAGAACACATCTCCCAGCCAGTTCAGGGCCCCTCCATAGCACTTGGGGACACTGTGATAGACAATGGACCTGACCTGACCCAGGGATGCCCACATTGCTGCTCCTTGGTGGCCACGCCTCTCCCTCTGCACAAGCCACTGAGGGCCCATGCAGGACTTCCAGGCAGACACAACCAGCCAGTCTTCAAACAGCAGCATGGGGCCTGGGTACCCGCCCCTCTCACGGCACCTTCTTGGATACAAACGAGGCTGAGGGTGGCGGTATCTGGGATCCTGCAGCCTTGGAGTGATCACTCCTCAGGGCAAGTGTGATCAAGAGCCCTACGACTTGCGGTCGTGTCCACACAGCCCAGGAAACCAAACGCAGCACCCGAGAACACAGCCAGGGACAGCTAGCAGACATTGAGCACCAACCCCAACCGCTGAAGCCAAGCCAGGCTGCCTGCTGGGCACAATCAACAGCCTAGCTCCCTGCTGAGGTGGACTGGCTGAACTGGCCATCTGCGGGGGCAATGGTTGGCCTTGGGATCACTAATCTGGGGGGTTGACCTGGAGCGATACTGGATGCCATCGAGCCATAGGGGACAGCAGTTACATTCAACCTATCGGGGGGCTCCCCAGTGGCTTGTATTTTAAAGTAGACCAAGTAAAACACTGGCAACACAATCCCAATGAGGAGCATGATGAAGACGGCATTCCACCACTGAATCCCACAGTCGGCACCGTCTGTGGACGTCTTTGGGGGTGCTGGGGGCAGCAGTGGCCTGGGAGCATCTGCACAGCAGCCCTCACCGAGGAAGATCTCCGACTGCACTGCGCGCTCGATGTTCCGGTCAATGCCCTGAAAGAAGTTTGACAGCTGGCTGGCCTGGGTGTCCGCACCTGCAGCCGTGCTGTCCACGCTGGGAGGGTCCCCGAAGGTCACTCTGGTCTCTACGGATGGCCCCAGGAGGGGCTTCAGTTCTTTGTGGGTTTCGGTGAGGATACCATGGCTTTTCACGGGAATCTTAACAGATTTCAAAGCATATAAGTCTTGTTCTCTGATGAAGTTGTTGACTTTCTTAATATCTGCGACCTAGGGAGGCCAGGAAGACACACATCGTAAAACAAGTGACATTTCTTAAAACCACATAGGGTAACACCCAAGCAGCCCTTAACCTGGCCAGATGAAAAGCCAGGTCCAGCCCAGTTAGGCTGGAGAAGGCCAGAAAGCTGCATGCACTCTCCGAATTCACCTAGGCCGAGAGACTGTGTTTGGCCTCTACTCAGCCCTAATGGCAGCTGAGTGATCAAATGAGCCTATAGATTTACAAGTCTGAACAGTTTCGGGTCAGTTTTGGAAACTGCTTCAAGTGCGACTGCAATAAAATGCTTTCTGGTGAAACCCAATCGGGACACTAGGATGAACTCCATAGCCCTTCTTGCTTTCCTGTTTGTTTTAACTCTGAGGCAACAGTGCCCCCTTCTGGCCCACTTCCTTCTCAGGCCAGAGGAATTGCTGCTGGAGGAACCCCCCAAAGTCTCCACCAATTGAGGACATCAGAGACCAGTCTACATGATGCCCTCAACCTGGTACCACACTTCTTTCTCAAATGCGCTATGGGGGTATAAACTTTGACTAAGGTTAATTCACCTTGAAGGGATGACGTTTCTTATCATTAGACTCATCGATTAAGTGGAAGATTATGGATAATTTTCAATTGTAAACTTAAGCAAAAAGACCACGTGTGACACAGAGTTTATCTTGCAATACAAAATTCATGACAAAATCCTTTCTTAAAGATTTACAGGATAAGTGCAAGCCAAAAAGTAAGGTCCCCCCTCAAGCTGATGTTTGAAAATTTTCCAGAATTACTGGAGATGAACTATGAAGTTTTAATTTGTAAGTCCACTTAAACCAGAGTATAAACACAGCCTAGAGACCCACAGAACCACGCCTGCTATTGTGATTAGGAGCTGCTTTCCTCAAGCCATTGAACTGAGGTGACATTTTTCATTGTTTTCTGAAACTAAGAAACAGAAAATTCTTGAGATGTTTTGGTCTTGACTCAAACTCAAAGCAAATGTATTTTCTTCAAGTTAGGAAGACTGATCAGTTGCTGGAGGTATTATATATTCTTGGTAGGTTTACTGGATATTACCATACCAACAGGCCTATCCATATATTTATAGGATTTGTTTGTCAGTTCAGGTCCTATAAATTGTAGGTTACACCTACTGATTTTAAGAGTCAACCATACAAATCAGTACAATTTAAAGATGTTGTGTGTCCCTAGAACTGGCCTGGACTTCCTTGGAAAGATGCAAATACTCCACATGATCTTTTCAGCATTTGAACCTCATTAGATAAGTGACAAACACTTTGTAAGTTTTTAATACTAAGCAGCTTACATAGCCTTAGGAAGGGCAGTATCTACTGCACAATATTAGCAAAATGAAATAATTTCACTCTAGCAGAAAATGAGGCAATTCTATGAATACTTTCCTACTTACTTTGCCATTGTTAATCACTCTGAATGCTAAAAACATAATTAAAGAGAAAAACAGTTATATAGATACACAGCATGGAGACTACATCATGCAGCTCTAAGAGACAGAATATAAATTTTTACCAAATAAGCATAGCCCCAAAAATCAATAAATTAAAAGTAGCAAGAAAAGCAAGCACGCCAAAGAAATCTTGGATAAATTCTGTAGCCCTCTGAAGTCTTAAACAAAATGCGCAAAGAAAAAGGGTCTCAGAATTCCACTACCTTCCCCTCTGCAGGAAGGAAATGCACCATTATGAGGACTTCCTGACTGACCTCTCTCTGAGTCCATAGGTCAGAGCTAAAGGACCTCGGCCTGCCTTCCATCTCAGGCCACAGAGGTGTCTTCTGCTGCAAGAGCTCGGGTCACCTACGGGGTCAGGAAGGACAACAAGGCGCGGCCTGCCCAAGCTCTTCCACATTGCCCTAGGTGGGGACAGAGCACCTGGGGCGTCTTACTTTGCAGCCATACTGCAGGGCAAGCTTGTTGAGGTTGTCCTCCTGTGCCAGCTCCCGCTGCAGCAGCACCACATCCCCTGCTCTGGGCCGGGAAGCCTGGTGGACACTGTTCTGGAGCTCTCTGCCCCGGGGGCGCAGGACGACGGGCTGCTGGCAGGTCTCTTCCTCCGAGGAGTCTTCGGAGTTCTCACTGCCATTCCCGAATACGTAAACGTGACTCCTAGGAGTCCTACAGACCGCCGCTGGGCCTTGGAAGGTCTTGGTTAACAGCTCCTTCTGCCTCATCTTCCTGAAAACCAAACCCCAGCGTTAATCCCCACAGATTGCACTCCCTGGCCTCCTTAAACAGCAATATCTTGTTTGCAATTATCTTTCCCCTATTTACTGCCAATACTCAACCAATACAATCAGTACTTCGCTGAGTTGGAGGGAGGTAGGCAAAATAAAAACATTCTTAAAAATTCTATAATTTTAGCAGAAAAGATCCCTGTCTCTTCAGCCCTTACCCCTCCTCTGTAAGTAGCGACCCTCGCAATAAGAGGTAGGGGCTGTTCCGTTTTCTTACACGAGTAAAATTCAGAACTTTGGTACAAAAACTGCATTGGCTATTCTGTGCATTGCACGGTTTCTTCACTGGGACCCTCGACACTGAGGACACAGGCTTAGAAAAAGTACGAGACTAGCACGCTGTTATTCCGATACCGGTTGATGTCTTTCATATGCGAGGCACAGGAAAGAGAAAACGCCCTTCGACCTTAGAGATTCGCTCCTTTTCTCAGAGATCACTTGCATTCCCATGTCTATTTCTATCTATTACCCGGCCACAAGGCATCTCTCTCCCCTTCCAAGTAGCCCGAATGAGATTCTAGAAATGAAATCTGAAACTTGGCGACTAACAGTATCCGAGTCGGCAAGGAGGCGCGACCCAGCCGCAGGGGCGCGGCCCGGGTTCCGGGCTTAGGGGACGCCCGCGGCGGCCTCCGCCGCCTCCAGGCCTCCTACCGCGCGCCCGCAGCAGGATCTGTCTCGGCCCCGGGCCTCGGCCCTAACCTCCAGCCCGAAACCAAGGACCGGCCCCAGACGGTCTCTACCGCCGCCTCGCCGCCTGCGGGAGTCCGCCAGGACACCAGGGAGCAGCAGCCCGCCCCGAGTCCACAGCGCGACCCGAGTCCACGGCCCCCTCCGCCAGACCGCTTTACCTCTGCTCCCAGGCGCCGCCGCGACCCGCCACCACCAGCCCCACCGCCGCGCCTGGCGATTGGCTGCGAAAATCAGGTCTTCCGGAGGCGGGGCCGGAGGGACAGCCAATGAAATTGGGAGTGAGCGAGCACCTTCGTAATCCCAGCGATGCTGAGAGGTCAGCAGGAGACTGGCACGGCCTGGGGGCGGGGATAGGGCGGGGCTTGAGATGGGCGGGGCTTCAGTTTCTGGATCTGACCCTGAACCCTACAGCCTGTTCTGCTGCTGCTGAGCCCAAAGTTTTCGAAAGTTTCCTAGAGGTGACGCAGTTTAACTCTTTCCTGGCGAAGGTCTGGGCCTTGGAAGCTTTCTGCTGATCCTCAGCGTCCACAGTCGTAGAGGACTCGCCTCTGACTCGCCTGCGTGAGACGATCTGTAGACAGCGAATTCCTAGCAGTGGCTGTCATCTCCTGAGGTCTCCCGCTGGCGTGGATGACCCCGGGATCAGCGGTTGCCCTGCCCTCGAGAGTAAAAAGAGAAGCCCAGGAGCGTAACACACTGACAAACTCAGACAGTTGTCAGAGGTCGGGTCGCCGAGGGTCTCCTGAGTTTTAAAGTGATAGAACTGTCAACATCCCAACGCGCAAATGTAAAAACTTTTCAAAAAAGTAACCCAAAATAAAGCAAACAGTAATGGGGGGGGTATGCAAAAAAACACAGCCTAGAACGAAAATCCCTAACGGAGAGAGCCCTTGTGGAAAATAGGAAGAAAGCGGGCTAGACCCTAGGAGATGGGAAATACCCGGAGATTATAGATAGCCCACAGCTGGGCGTGGGGTTAAACCTCAGCTGCAATCAACCACAAGGCAAGCGCTAAAACGTGATCTCTGAAAGTCGTGATTTTCTATCCCTCTTAGAACAAAAACCGAGCATGGTGGTGCAAGCCTGTAATACCGGCACTTTGGAGGATGGACATGGTGGGTTCAAAGCCGCCTTGAACTACACAGTGAGACCCTGTCTCAAAAAGCCCAGTAAGTAAATAAAATTCTTGGTGTCTATGGGAAGGCATTTACACTGTGCCCTCCCACCTTCGCTTTCCTTTACATGCCCATCCTTACGACCCTGATCCTCTCCCACCCTGGCCCTTCACACCTGCCCTCCCTTTCCACCTCCTCTCAGCTCAGTGACCCTCTGTCCCTCAGATGAGCCACCTTCCCAGTGAGGCCTGTCCTGTCCAGCTGCAGACACCAGTGTGGCACTCATCTTTGCTCCATTTGGACATGATTTCTTCATCCTGCTTTCCAATTAACTGGCTTATGTTGTTGCCAGAATCCTCCTGCAGTCCATTATCATCTGTTTCATGCAGCATTCAACTTCCAGGGGTCAGCTGTGTGCTGGAACTTAGTAGGGTCTCATTAAATATTGGCTCTTTAGGACAGATATTATGTGTCCTGGCCAGGGTCCACAGGTGGGAGGCTGCAGCACCCAAACTCAAAGCCTGGGGCATCTACCCAAGGCCCAGGGTTGCCAGCCAGATGCACCTCTCACCCTCAGGGCTGGGCAATGGCTTGGTGGGCTGCAAAGTGCGATTACTTGGAACAGAAATCAGGACAGAACTTGCAAAGCTGCATTAGTGTAGCTGCTCTCTGATCAATTATGCTTGCTCCAGTAAAAACAAATGCAGGCTGAGTAAGGAGAAAGAGACTTTCTTCCAGAGGATTACTGAGAGGAGGCAGGGAAGAAGGACCATGGCAGTGCGGGGAGCCCTCTGACCACATGAGCTGTGACATCTCCATGTTTATACACAAAGTTTTTCTTTCATACAGAGGGGTAAAGAAAGCTAGAAAGAAACTGCTGTGTGGTGGAAGAGGGGGGAATATTGCCCCCAGGGCCAGTCTGTTCTCAGGAAGGGCCAGCTGCTGCCTCTGGCAGGAGGGACCCATATTTATTCAAAGCCCTGCAGGAGGCAGAGAAGTTTACTTAAAGTTTGGTCAACAAGAATTGTGTTCCAGCTGATCCCTGGGGAGAAGCAGTTCAGCTCATGGTGTATGACGTGAAGAAAGGAATTCGAAGGGCCTGACTGTGGTCCTGTAATTCTCATGGAGGTGGGGAGACATCTGTGAGTCTCCTTTAAGTCAATATGGAAAAGGGAGGAGGTCTTTACATTGGTCATTTTCTAGCACATGCTCAACGAAGCAGTTTCTTAATCTTCTCTGTTTTCCAGGAGCGCGGGTCTTGTTCCAGGTGAGATGGAAGTAGAAAACATCAATGGGGTTTCTGTGAAAGCTCTTAGAACAGGGGTGTCTGGAAAAGCTTTCTTAACCTTTTCTCCTGTTGCCTGGAATAAAGATGTGATGGTAAAACACCTGTAGCCATTGTGAACTATGAGGTAATGCTAGAGGTGAAATCCTTGGGCTAAGGATGGAAGAACGAAAAGCTGAAATATGTGTATAAGATAAAGAAATGTTTCTGTTTTATAAACATACATTAAGATCTCTGTTAATAGCAGCTGAAAAAAGTCCAAAGTTACACACTTAAGCACAGAGACTAAGTTATCTGGCTAGATACCATAATGGGTATAAGAGGCAGGCATGATACAACCATAGGCATTCCTATGTTAGAACTGGGGTACCTGGGAAAGTGGCTGCATTCCTCCCTGGACTTTTGAAGCTTCTGATGAGGTTGGTGGGTGTCTTGTCATTCTGCGAAGGGGCTCAGGAAGTGACAGAAGTCGTCTAATATCAACCATGGCAGTGATCAAAGCTCGCCACAGAGTACCAGGGACATGGCCGAGATCCCCAACTGCCTGCATGCGGGGTACTGAAAGGTCTGACATATATGACATAATGCACGGCAGAGAGGCTGGCAGGTTCATGCCTCAGGGTGGACAGAGGCGAGCTCGCCAGCCTTGACTGGGTGAGTAGTAGATGGCCCAGTGGACAGTGCAACCTTATGCTGATGAGGGTAGCAGGGCAAGATGGTGGGTTAAGGAGTTTGTCTGTTCCCCAGGGCGAAGCCCTGTTTTCACTGCTCCCGAGTTCTTAGGGAATCAGAGTGTCTTCCGCTGATGTAGTCTCACCCCAGGCTGCCAAAGCATCAGGGACCATTGAGGTCTGTATGGCCTCGGCCCTTTGTAGCCCCCAACAACAGGGGGCATTCAGAGCGTGTGTAGATTATACCTCAGTAAACCTGAGGGAGCCTCCTTAAAAGTGAAACATAGGCTTAAACTGCACTCTGGAGATACATTCACCAAAGAACTGCAAGTTGGGTCTCAAAAAGCTCCAGGAGACCTGTGCTCAGAGCTGAGTAACTCGAAACAGCTGAAAGGTGGATGCAGTTGGTGCCTTCAGGAAGGAGTGAGCGGGTAAACAGTATTCTTTGCATCTGCTGGCAGTGGGAATTCTCAGGACAGGAATCCAGCACCCTCTACAAGAGGAACCCCCCGCCTCTTGTGGGGGAAGCGGTCTGCGGTTCTTCCAAAGTCCCAGTGGTATGAGGTGATCAGATGGGGTCTTGTGGCTGTGGGAAGCTGGGTGGCATCTGGGAAGCGGAGAGCAGCCAGGCAGACAGCGGGCCAGCTGTGCCTGGATCTAGACCCCAGGCTCCGGACACGTGAGAAAACGAGCTGGGCTCTGTGCATCACCCGACGCTGAGTGTACAGCTGGAACGGGTGCAAACCAAGTGAGACGAGCCCACGTCTACTGGGTGAGGAGGTCAGTTTTCCTGGAGCAGTGGGCATCCACGGGGTAAAAGCAGAGCCTTTGCTGTGTGTCTCCAAGATGTTGTAGAAAGGCGACGTGGGAGGAATTTATGGCAGTGTTTGTCTAAAAGGCTCGGTGTGCACAGGTTGTGTCCTGTGGATAAGCAGCTTGATGACCACACAGTGAGGTGAGATGGGAGAGCTGTGGGGAGACCGAGTCTCACTATGTAGTGCAGTGTAGTGGACTTGACTTGAACGCACCTCTGTAGCCCAGGGTGACCTCAACTTTACAGTAATCTTCCTGCCTCCGCCTCCCGAGTGGTGTGATTACAGGCGTAGGTAACACATGGCATAATTCCTATGTGGTTTTTGTGCTAAACTGGTGATATTTTAGGTAAATTGGGTTAAATTAATTAAAATGAATTTTACCTGCTTCCTTTTTCACATATCCACCACACAACACAAACTTCCGGGGGCTGGGCCCAGGGCAGGGGGGAGGGGATGAGAGCACCAGGAGACCCCTTAGCCTTCCCACTTCCCTGGGGCACTCAGGCAGCCCTGGGTTGGCACTCCGGGGCTCGATGCCCCCTGCCCACGCTCCCCCACGGCAGGTAGAGAGACCCACTGGTTCCGACCCACCCTGCTGTAGCAGGCTCACGGACTCTTGTCGCAGAAAAAGAATTGTCAGGCTGCTTCAGAGAGACAGGAGCGGGGCTGATGAGGCACAGGGAATACTGAGCCCAGGTGGCTGTGCCAGTGCTTGCCCAGGAGATGAGCTGCGTTGCAGTAAGGAGCTGAAGACCTTTAGCTGTTCCCGAGGAAAAGGCACGCTGGAGGAGAGTGCCCACCCATGCCCCCAATGGGGCCAGGCATGGTTGGTTGGTTTTATTTTTAATAGGTGATTTAAATGGTCTCTGGATTTGCTCAGCTTTTTTTACTCTCTTAATTGGCCCAATGTATGGCTTTCTAGTGACAGTTCCGGTTGGGGTGGAAGGTGACTCTGGCAGAGGACTGCTGGCTTTGGGCTGCCCTCCTCCCGGGGCCACCCTCCCACCCTTCACTTTCTTAACTGGGCCGATTTATGGTGCTGGCTGACCTCAGCTGTGTCCCGGAAGCTGTGGTCTTCTCACAAAGTTTTTAACTAGGATTTGTTTCCTTTCTCTCTCTTTTATGTCTTCTGTCCCCTCTCAGTGTCAGGAAGATGCAAGCAGAAGCCGCAGCCTATTTTAGGGCACAGAGTGGGAGTGGGTCCCTCAGACTGAGCGCCCAGATCTGTGCGGTGAGAGATCAGGCACCAGCTGCAGTCAGGCTGACTCATGGAGAGGTTCCTGAGGTTACTGCAGGGGGCACTATTTGGTGATGCAGGCTGAGGCTCCAGCCTAATGAGTGTCCACTGTGGAGCTCCGCTTGGGCACATGAGCAGGTCCCAGTGCTCCACGAGACTGCCCAGATGGACCTCAGGCTGTGGTGACCTGCACTGCACAGCATGCTCAGTGCCAGACGGTGACCTCTTGAGCCCTGGTGCTTAGAACTCCAATGGGGTCCGCAACAGTGCTGGTGCACTAGGGACCAAGAGTCACCAGAGCTGACACTAGAAAGGGACCAACTTTCTCCAGGGCCTCCAGCCTCGCAGCCTTTGGGGACAGTGGCTCTCCATGGCAGATCAGGGCTTAGTAAAGAGCCACTTGGTGAATTCACAACAAAGGGACCTGAACAGAGGGACCGGATCCCAGGTTGATGGCCCAGAGATGAGCATCTTTGAGGCCATGGCCCCTCTGCTGGAGGCCTGGGGAAGGGTGGGGCCGTGGGAGCCCAGGGACATGCCAGGAGCTCATCAGTGGGAAGAAATGGGGGAAGCTAAGGAGATGCAGATGCTGGGGTGCAGGAAAGGTGGGGACGGCTCAGCTGCCTGTCTTGTTCTTCCAGCTGAGATGCCAGTGCCTCCAGTGGTTGGGGCCCAGCAGGATTTGAGCTGCCCAGAACTGTGAGACACAGCCCAGAGTGAGGGAGGGACACACAGGCCCGGGGGCAGTGCCACCTCCTTCTGTCCCAAAACCCTCGCGCAGTTAAACAAGCCTGCCTGTTACAAGCTTAATTGTGTCCCCCAGCAGTGCTGGTGACAAGGTCTTGGGTCCAGGTGTGTGCAAGGGTGGCCTCCTGGAGACTGTCACAGGGGTTGGTTGCTCAGGGACCCTGGGCTTGTGTGTAGGTGCCACAGGTTTCAATGAAATTGAAAATTACAGTGTCACTCAAAGTCACTTCACAAGCTTTTTCTTTTTGAGACCTGTTTCATACACCTTAGAACACAATGGAAATGTTCACTGAGATGCACTTTTGAGAACAGCTGTATCTTGTGATCAATGATGGGGACACAGAGACACTTTGCACCCAGGAGAATTCCTAACCAAGAGAACCAAAGAGAAACATGCTGGAGACCCCACAGACTCCCACTGTGGGCCACAGTTCCCATCTTTCCCTGAGGGTGACAGTGTGGGAGAGCACTGATGAATGACCTTTGGCTGATGTCCCTTTTAGGAAAACATTCGGAGGCCTGAGCAATGTTTGCCAGGCTTCCTTTAGAGGTGCTGAGTAGACATTGCTTTTATTTGCTTTGTGTGTGAAGCTTCGCTGGTGGTGGGCAGTCCCTGCGGCCACTCAGAGTAGCCCAAAGGAGGTTTTCGAAGGTGAGGTCCCAAGGTTAAAGAAGGCGCTTGTGCAAGATAGCAGCAACAGTAACCGGCAGCATGGAGCAGAGCAGAGTGGAAGAGAGCAGGCCGCGTCACTGTCGTGTGTCTCACACAGGTTGTATCGCGTGTTTACATTCCTACACTAGCACATGCGCACTTCCCTGTGCTAAGTCACGGTTACGTAACTGTGTCGCTGTGCGCCTGCGCCAGACCAGCCGGGTCATGTTCTCAGGTGGTCTTAGGCCTTCCCCTGTGCTTAATGCAGACTGGATGGTTCCCCACAGGCAGCCCCTTATGGGGTGGTAAAACTGGGGTGCCCAGTGGAATTCAGGGGAAGGGGACATAACCCTCCTTCATTTTTCCCTTCTCAGTGCTCATCATGGAGGGGAAACTCCCAACACGTTAAATGCATGAGTATTTTAGAGTGAAAATTAAGGGCTTGCTTCCTAAGGTCCTGACTGGTCTTACTCGCTCAGGTTACTATGATCGTGTTCTGGCCTGTTGGCCTGGATGGTTAAAGCGTTTCTCTCTGGCTTTGTGCTTGGCTGTCCTTGTCACTTGAGGAGGAATATGAACCAGCACAGATTCTGCCCTAACGCTGGGCTGGGAGAGACCGGCACTCTGCAGGCAGAGGTCTCACATCTCAGATTACTGATGGTAGGAAAGCGGGGAAGGGAAGGATCAGCCTTGGCTGGTTTAAAAAAGAGAATCTGTTCTGAAAGGGAGAGGGAAGGAGGCAGGAACAGGTGAAGACCACCAACATTTGGGATTCCCCCGGGGGACATTTGGGGTACCTGGGGACACAGATTGGGGTGTATGTGTTATGTCTGTGGGTGCTGCTAAACCTCCTGCATTGCGCAGAAGTCCCCTCTCCCAACACAAAATTACCCAGCTCAGCCGATGCCTGGTACCAAGGCTGGGAAAACTGCCCTTCAGCCAAACTCGGGGTACTCAAGAGCCCTTCAAGAGGACTTTC